TGCACCTGTTCCTGTCTCACTGGCTGACCCCTCTGGGGGCCCAGTGCTTGCATGGTCTTCCACTGTGCTTCCGTGTCCCGTCTGGTGAGCTGTCTGGTCTCCACCTCCCCTCGTTCTCTACGAACTTGGTGAGCAACGCTGTCCTCCAGGATGCGGGTGTTGACACCTTCACCCCTGGCCGACAGCGTGTGGCGATCTGCACGTGCTCCCAGACCGGCCGCCACCTGGCCACGTTCACCCGTGCGCCAGGGTCCAGTCCGTACACCCTCACCACTGAGTCACGCTCCACCCCTTTGTCTCCCCAGCTGCACGCGTCTGCTCAGGTAGCTACCCAGTGTGAGTGTCGCCGCCTGTCGCACGACACTCTCCTGTGGCACCACCGCCTGGGCCACCCCTCCCTGCCTCGCCTTCGTAGCATGCACTCTCGCTACTTGGTCTCTGGCCTTCCCAGGTCTCTGCCTGCCCTCCCTCCCTCGCCTGCGCCGCCCTGCATTCCTTGCGTCGAGGGGCGGCAGCGCGCCGCTCCTCACTCCTCCTCGTTTCCTCCCACAGAGGCTCCCCTGCAGACTCTCCACCTGGACGTGTGGGGCCCAGCCCGCGTCCGTGGACAGGGCCACGAGCGGTACTTCCTGCTGGTCGTCGACGACTACACGCGCTACACCACGGTCTTCCCCTTGCAGCGCAAGGGGGATGTCCCTGATGTTTTGATCCCCTGGATCCGCGCTGTTCGTCTCCAGCTCCGCGAGCGGTTCCAGTCGGACTTTCCTGTCCTGCGTCTGCACTTTGACAGAGGTGGTGAGTTCTCCTCTGACCTCTTGGCAGCCTACTGTGCGGAGCACGGCATCCGCCAGTCGTTCGCGCTTCCGGCCTCTCCGCAGCAGAATGGGGTTGCTGAGCGCCGCATTGGCTTAGTCATGGAGGTCGCTCGTACCTCCATGATCCATGCGGCTGCCCCCCATTTTCTGTGGCCGTTTGCGGTCCGGTACGCTGCGCATCAGCTCAACCTCTGGCCCCGTGTCTCCTTGCCGGAGACCTCGCCCACACTGCTGTGGACGGGGAAGGTTGGCGATGCGTCGCGTTTCCGGGTCTGGGGTGCTCGTGCCTTTGTCCGCGATACCACCGCGGACAAGGTCTCCGCTCGCGCCATTCCCTGCGTCTTCCTTGGCTTTGTCCCTGACGCGCCTGGCTGGCAGTTTTACGACCCCGCCTCGCGCCGTGTCTTTCCGTCTCAGGACGTCACCTTTGACGAGTCCGTCCCCTTTTACCGTCTCTTTCTCTACCGCACTGCCCCTCGCCCCCCCCCGCCGCTCTTTCTCGCCCCAGGTCCTCCCCAGGTAGACCCCCTCCCCGCGCCAGGTCCTGATCCTTCAGGTGTTTCTCAGGTAGACCCTCCCGTGCCTGCGCCTGTTGAGGTCACTGATGACTCAGGTCCTACTGGGGGTGGTGCTGTCTCTGGGGGTGCTGGGCCTGGGGGTGCGGAGCTTGGGGGTACTGAGCCTGGGGGTGCGGAGCTTGGGGGTGCTGAGCCTGGGGGTGCGGAGCCTGCGCGTGAGGACCCAGGAGGTGCTGAGCCGGGGGGTGCGGAGTCTGGGGGCGCTGAGCCTGAGCGTGAGGAGACTGGAGGTCCTGAGCCTGGGGGTGCTGTGTCTGGAGGTGCTGAGCCTGAGCGTGAGGAGCCTGGGGGTACTGAGTCTGGGGGTGCGACGCCTGAGGGTTCTGAGTCTGCTGCTGCGCGGTCTCCTTGGAGTAGCCGCCTTCGTCCGCGTGTGCCTCTCACCTCACAGCAGCTGCACGACTAATACGGTCGCCGTCAGGGTCGCGCTTCTGGAGCTCCGGGCTCTGCCGCTGGAGGTACTTCTGCTGACGTCACTGGAGCTGGGAGTGGTGCTGGTCCCGGAGGTGCTCGTACTGGAGGTACTGGAGCTGCTGGGGCTGGAGGTGCTGCTGAGCCTGAGGGTGCTACTGCTGGAGACCCTGGGTCTGGGGGTGCTGCTGCTGGGGACACGGAGGCTGGAGACCCTGGGACTGGAGGTGCCGGTTCTGGGGGTGCTGCTGAGGGTACTGGCGCTGCTGGAGGTACTGGAGCTGCTGAGGGTGCTGGAGCCGCTGGAGGTACTGGAGCTGCTGGAGGTGCTGGAGCTGCTGAGGGTACTGGAGCTGCTGGTGCTGGTGGCACTGCACAGCCGCGCCTGTTCTTTGCTCCACTGGCTCCGTCGTCTCTGCCCCCGCCTGACTCCGTACTTCGCCAGGTTCTTAGCCTCCCGTCGTTTGCTGGTCTTCCGTTACAACCTGGCTCACCTCTGCCTGCTCCTTCTCCTTACGCTGAGCAGACAGGGGGCCTTGCTGAGCGTCGTGAGCCTGCGTCGCGTCCTGTCTCACCTGTCTGTTCTGGTCGTTCCAGTCGTCGTGTTCCTCGTCAGCGTCCGCCGGCTGTCCCCGGCCCTTCCCTTGTAGTCCGTCGTCCTTCCTCTCCTCCGCAGCGTGTTCCTCTGCCGTCTCCTCCTGCGTCTTCTCTGCCTGTTGTTCCGGACCCTGAGTCTGACCGGTTTCGTGCTGAGCACCCTACTGTCACGCGTCTGCTAGCCACTGTTGTCACTGACCCGTCGTTTGAGTCGTCTGCTGCGTCTGCCTTTGTCGCTGAGCTTGTTGACTTTGCTGCTGCCTGTCGTCTAGACTACGCTACTCGTCTTGTTGCTGAGTCTGAGTCTGTCTGTCCTCCGTCCGTCGGGGGTGAGTGTGCTCTTGGCACGGACGTCCCTGAGGACAGGCAGGAGGACCTTGAGTGTCTTGCCGCCGCTGCGCCTCATCTCGTGGCCATGCTGCATGCCCCTGAGGGAGACCCGGATGCACCAGACATCCCGACCCCGCGCTCTTACGCTGAGGCGATCGCGGGTGAGTACTCCTCTCAGTGGCAGACAGCCATGGACGCAGAGATGGCATCCTGGAAGTCCACAGGCACTTACGTCGACGAGGTTCCCCACCTGGGGCGAACATCGTCAGTGGCATGTGGATTTTCAGGGTGAAGCGGCCGCCGGGTTCTCCGCCTGTCTTCAAGGCGCGTTACGTTGCACGAGGTTTCAATCAGCGAGAGGGAGTAGACTTCTTCCAGACCTTCTCCCCCACCCCGAAGATGACCACTCTTTGGGTGCTGCTGCACGTTGCCGCTCAGCGTGACTACGAGCTTCACTCTCTTGACTTCAGCACAGCCTTCTTACAGGGCAGTCTGCACGAGGAGATCTGGCTGCGCCGCCCACCCGGCTTCACTGGGTCGTTCCCTCCTGGTACCTAGTGGAGCCTCAGGCGGCTGGTCTACGGTCTCCGCCAGGCGCCACGTGAGTGGCACGACACACTGAGGACGACACTTGCGGCTCTTGGGTTTGCTCCGTCGACTGCTGACCCGTCGCTGTTTCTGCGCACCGACACTTCGCTGCCGCCGTTCTACATCCTCGTGTACGTCGACGACTTGGTCTTTGCCACTGCTGACACTGAGGCTCTCGCCCTGGTGAAGTCGGAGCTGCAGAAGAGACACACGTGCACAGACCTGGGTGAGCTGACAAGCTATCTTGGCTTGCGGATCACCCGGGACAGAGCACGCCGCACCATCACACTGACTCAGTCACACATGGTGCAGCAGGTCCTTCAGCGCTTCGGCTTCACCTGGTCCTCGGCACAGGCCACTCCTCTGGCTACAGGTCACTCAGTCTCAGCTCCACCTTCGGACGAATCCGTAGAGCCGAGTGGTCCTTACCCAGAGCTAGTGGGCTGCCTCATGTACCTGATGACCTGCACTCGTCCTGACCTTGCGTACCCTCTTGGCCTTCTAGCTCACTACGTGGCTCCTGGTCGGCACCGAAAGGTGCACATGGATGCTGCTAAGAGGGTACTACGCTACTTGTGCAGTACATCGGGCATGGGGCTCGTGCTTGGAGGACGGAGCGACGTTGTCCTCACTGGGCACTCAGACGCTTCTTGGGTTGACGACCAGGCTACGCAGCGGTCGTCACAGGGTTACACCTTCAGCCTTGGTTCTGGTTCAGTTTCCTGGCGTTCTACACACTCGTCTTCAGTTCTCGGCTCCAGTTGTGAGGCCGAGATCTACGCCACGGCTATGGCGGCACAGGAGCTACGCTGGCTGACCTACCTGCTGACCGACTTGGGAGAGCGGCCTCGTTCTCCTCCAGTGCTGTATGTAGACAACAAGGCCGCCATTGCCTTGTGTCAGGAGCACAGACTGGAGCACAGAACGAAGCACATCGCTCTGCGTTACTTCCTTGCTCGAGAGCTGCAGCAGCGTGGCCAGCTTTGTCTTGCTTACGTGGCCACTCGGGCCAACACTGCTGATATATTCACCAAGGCGCTTCCGCCTGGTGATCATCAGCGTTTCTGCACTTTGTTAGGCCTTTTGCCCACGTTTCCTCACTTGCTGTAGGCTTTGATTGTACTGTGATTTATATGTATACCTGCATGCTTGCTCTTGTAGATAGAGATCACTGTGCTGTTGTTGTTACATAAATATCTCTGCATGTGAACTGGCCTTGTGGCCTGTTGCTTGTGCTCAGACTGCGTGGTGACGTTGTGATCCACCCTGAGCTTGCTTTGCACTTCCCGACTGGTCTTGTGACCCTCTGTTCTCCCCCACTTTGCCTATGGGGGTGTGTCAAACATATAGTTATATGTTGTAGTTTGGGTAGGCTTTTAGTGGGGTACTCACTGTGGGGTACAACCCCTTAGGTTATATTGTTTGTACCAAACTCTCGATAGTCATCGATTACCTTGCCTAAGCTTTGACAACCCCCGTTCCAACTTGAATGAGGAGTTGCAAGTGAGGATGAAACCAGTATCAAAAACACTGTTTCAAACGATTTGTATGGGCAGAGTGAACTCATGTTATTGGCTCTTGCGCCACAATGGAACGTAATGGTTCCCGCCAAAATGAACTTTCTTTCTCATATCAGCCGTCGCATTTTTGCGTGCCGCATCCGCACGACAAACCCCAAGCGATGGTTTCCCATCGCAGGCCCAACCTCATTTTCAAGCTGGTGATGGGTGCATTACTAGATTTCTGTCACTCCATTCATCACTAGTTTCCACATAGCATAGTAAGTAGTATAGCCGAAAGCACAGGCGTTCGTGTCATAGCCACGTAATTACCGACGAGTGCGTCAATCGTCGACTTAGCAAGAGTGTGAAATGTAGGTTTACATGGCATGGTAGCGCAGTGCCAGTTTCCCGTCTCAATCAATTTGCCCGTCGCCTCACTCTCTAGTCCGTCCCGTCGCCTTTCCGTCGCCCTCGCAAACACACGCGTGACGGCCCTCCCGTCGTCGACACGGTCTCCCCTCCTGGTCCGTTTTTCTCCCGTTCACCCCTCTTGTCCCCTCGCCCTCGCGATTTCCCTCCGATCTCGTCGCCTTCCCGTTCTCCCGCCCCTTGCCTTCGATGTCCCCTCTTCCTTCCCGTCGCCCTCACTATCTCCCTTCCCTCACGTTGCCTTCGATGTCCCCCTTTTCCTTCCGTCGCCCTCGCGATATCCCTTCCCCCTCCCGTCACCTGTCCGCTCTCTCTCCCGTCGCCTGTCCGCTCCCCCCGCCCTCGCCTTCGTGCTCTCTCTCCCGTCGCCTTCGTGCTCTCCCTCCCGTCGGCTTCGCGCCCTCCCTCCCGTTGCCTGAACCCCCATCCCTCCCTTCGCCTTCGCGCTCTCTCTCCCGTCGCCTGTCCGCTCCTCCTCCCCTCGCCTTCGTGCTCTCTCTCCCGTCGCCTTCGTGCTCTCCCTCCCGTCGGCTTCGCGCCCTCCCTCCCGTTGCCTGAACCCCCATCCCTCCCTTCGCCTTCGCGCTCTCTCTCCCGTCGCCTGTCCGCTCCTCCTCCCCTCGCCTTCGTGCTCTCTCTCCCGTCGCCTTCGTGCTCTCCCTCCCGTCGGCTTCGCGCCCTCCCTCCCGTCTCCTTTGCGCTCTCCCTCCCGTTGCCTGTCCGCCCTCCCTCCCGTCTCCTTTGCGCTCTCCCTCCCGTTGCCTGTCCGCCCTCCCTCCCTTCGCCTTCGCGCTCTCTCTCCCGTCGCCTGTCCGCTCCCCCTCCCCTCGCCTTCGCGCTCTCCCTCCCGTCGGCGCCCTCCCTCCCGTCTCCTTCGCGCTCTCCCTCCCGTTGCCTGTCCGCCCTCCCTACCTTCGCCTTCGCGCTCTCTCTCCCGTCGCCTGTCCGCTCTCCCTCCCATCGCCTTATCGCTCTCCCTCCCGTCGCCTTTCTCCTTCCCCACTTCATCTCCTATCGCTCACGTCCTCCCCTCCCATCGGCATCGCGCTCACGTTCCGCCCTCCCGTCACCATCGCGCTCACGTGCACCTGTCTTCGCGTCGCCTTCGCGCTCATGGCCTCCCCTCCGATCACGTCTCGCGACATAAGTTAAGCTAGCAAGCACGTCTCGTGCCGTCGCTATCTCCCATCACGTTCCGCGCCGTCGTTATCTCCCCCCTTCACCCCGTCGCGCTCGCTGTTTCTCCCCCCTCTCCCCGTCGCGCTCGCTATCTCCCACGCGATCTCATAGCGATCCCCTATTTGTAGTCGCCTACGCGATCTACTCCATTTTCCGTCACCCGCGATCTCCCCCATTGTACGGTAAATCGCCCTCGCTATACCCCCTCCCTTACCGTTCTAATTCCCGTCGGCCCCTCTCTCTCCTCTCGAGTCACCTTGTCGTTCTTCTGTTTGCTACTTGCATCACTCGGTGTTGTTAGTTAGCTCAACATTGTGTGTATGCTGCGTGTGTGGTGGCAGGCTCCGTTGTGAAATTTGTGATGTGTTGTGCTCGATGCGGATTTGGATGGGTGGGAGAAGTGGAAATGTCATAGCAAGCTTGCGACAATTCTGTGCATGTTGCGACTGATCGTATCAGAAGTCGGAAACAACTTCAAATCGGTCTTGTTACTACTTGGGGACTTGCCCTGTTCAGAAAAAAGCACCAAACTTTCTGGAAAATTTTATGAGCTTTCTAGTGGACCCAACTAGAAGGGGGGGGTCACTATTTTGCATGCGGGCTTTAAGCCAGTGTAGGGGTTAGGGGCAATTGTATAGCGAGGGGGTATTTATAAGACTTATAAGACACCCTAAACCATCCCAAATACAAGACAACCCAAGCATTTTTGCCCGTGTACGAGATGAGACATATACGTATGTCTTATATCCGGGCGATGACGGTACAACGGAATGTGTGTGTCAGTGGACAGGAACGCGAACGCTGTCAAAACATATTTGTATGTTCTTAGTTCTGCTAGGCTACAGTGAGGTGCTCAGTATAGAGTACAACCCCAATTAGGGTTTCATACTTGTATTCCCTGTTGCTAGTCATTCATCATTCCTGCACAGATTCTTCTGACATGGTTTCAGGGTAGGAAACCTGTTAAGTTTTAGGGCCCACCGATAGTTCCGCTCGTTCCTGCCCGAAGCGCCCTTGCGCTATCCTGCCCTGCTCGCACAGTGTCACGCTGCCCTGCTGCCACGCGTGCTGCCTGCCCTAGGGCGCTCCCCTGCTGCAGCCCGCGTGTCGCGCCCCACTGCTGCCCACGCGTCGCGCTCTGCAGCCTGCACGTCGCGCCTTGCTGCAGCCTGCGCGTCGCGCCCTGCTGTTTGAATCTAGTCTAGACTAGGTGACTAGAGTAGATAGGAGAAGTGATGTCAATTAGGTAAAGAGGGGGGGTACAAGAGTCTCGAAAAAATCTAGTTGTACCCTCTAGGGATAACCCCTACACAACCTAGAAGCTACAAACATATAAATATTTTGACACACCCCCATAGGTGAAGGAGGGGATAGCCAAACCTAATGTTAGAATTTTAGGCAAGGAGAAGTGATTGAACTATCGAGAGGTTTGGTACAAGAGTGAAACCTAAGGGGTTGTACCCCACAGTATGTACCCCACTAAGCCTACCCAAACTATAACATATAAATATATGTTTGACACACCCCCATAGGCAAAGTGGGTGAGAACAGAGGGTCACAAGGCCAGTCAGGAAGTGCAAAGCAAGCTCAGGGTGGATCACAACGTCACCACGCAGTCTGAGCACAAGCAAAAGGCCACAAGGCCAGTTCATATGCAGATATATATATGTAACAACAACAACACAGTGATCTTAGCAGTTTTGTGCTGGCTGAAATGCGCGCGCTCAGTAATCGGCAGATGATTCCTAATAGCTAGGCGTGCAGCAGCATCGCGAGTCTGCCACTGTGAGCGTTCGAGAGCAGGAGCATCGGCAGCAGGAGCAACGGCAGTGCCAGACACGTAATCGTCGAGCCACATAGCGAACTCTATGGGGCGACCGTCAGGCTCGAACGCGAGAACATTAGGCGTCGTCATAACGGCAACAGGCAAAGGCAGTAGGCAGCAGGCAGCAGACAGGAGGCAGCAGGCAGCAGGCCGCAGGCAAAGACAGAGACAGCAGGCAGCAGACAGGAGGCAGCAGGCAGTAGGCCGCAGGCCAGGACAGAGGCAGCAGGCAGCAGGCAACACAGGCAGCTTGCAGGGCAGTAGCTTGCCGCACTCGAGCTCCTAAGGCGGCGCGCTAGGCAGCAGCAGGCCGCGCGCTTTCTAAGGCAGCGGGCTCGGCAGCAGCGGGCCGCGCAGGCAGGCACACGGGCAGGGCACGCGCGGCTGCTGGCTGCGTGCGGGTGAGGGCTGCGCGCGGCTGCTGGCTGTGCGTGGCGACGGGCTGCGCGCCGCTGCGGGCTGCGTGCGGCGGCGGGCTGCGCGGGCGTGGCCTAAGCAGGCTGCGCGCGGGCGGCGTAAGCGGCGCGCGGGCGGGGCCTAAACGGGCTGCGCGGGCGGGGCCTAAAACGGGCCGCGCGGGCTGCTTAAGAGGCGCGCGCGGGAAAAAAAAGGGCCGCGCACGTGCAGCCGAGGCGCGCGCGGGCAGTAGGCAAGGCAGGTGAGGTAATGTGGTAACCGGTGGGCCCTAATCCTAGGTCCTAAAGACCTATGCTCTAGATACCATGTTAGAATCTTAGGCAAGGAGAAGTGATTGAACTATCGAGAAGTTTGGTACAAGAGTGAAACCTAAGGGGTTGTACCCCACAGTATGTACCCCACTAAGCATACCCAAACTATAACATATAAATATATGTTTGACACCTAACAGTGTTCACAAGACTAGTCAAGCAAGAGAACAAGCAAGGCAATGCCCAGGGTGGATCTCAAGGACACCACACAATCTGAGCACAAGAAAGCGGCCACAAGGCCAGTTCACATGCAGAGTTATAATAGTAAGGCAGTACACTGATTACAACCTAGCAAGAGAAAACAAGCAGGTATAAAGATATATACCAGTGTACAACAAGTGCAAGTCAAGCAACCAGCAGGTGAGGAAGAGTGGGCACAAGCCCAAGAGCAGTGCAGAAACGCTAATGATCACCAGACCCAAGGGCCTTGGTGAAGACATCAGCAGTGTTGGCCCGAGAGGCCACGTAAGTGAGGCGCAGCTGACCACGCTGCTGCAGCTCCCGAGAAAGAAAGTAACGAAGAGCAATGTGCTTCGTTCTGTGCTCCAGTCTCTGCTCGCGACACAAGAAGAAGAACGAGGCCGTTCCCCCAAGTCGGTCAGCAGGTAGGTCAGCCAGCGTAGCTCCAGTGCAGCCATGGCCCCAGCGTAGATCTCGGCCTCACAGCTGGAACCAAGCACAGAAGAAGAACGAGTGGACCTCCACGAGACAGAACCAGAGCCAAGACTGAAGTTGTAACCCTGTGACGAACGCTGAGTCGCCTGGTCGTCGGGCCAAGAAGCGTCAGAGTGTCCTCTGAGTACCACTGAACCCCGTCCTCCAAGCACGAGCCCCATGCCCAATGTAGTGCACAAGTAACGCAGTACCCTCTTCGCAGCATCAAAGTGCACCTTTCGGTGTCTACCAGGTGCCACGTAGCGAGCCAGGAGGCTGAGAGGGTACGCGAGGTCAGGTCGTGTGCACGTCATCAGGTACATGAGGCAACCCACAAGCTCTGGGTATGGACCACTCGGCTCTACGGACTCGTCCGAAGGTGGAGCTAAGTGCGAGTGACCGGTAGACAGAGGAGTGGGCTCTGGCGAGGAGTACTGGAAGCCAAAGCGCTGGAGGACCTGGTGCACCATGTGTGACCGAGTCAGGGTGATGGTGCGCCGTGCTCTGTCCCGGGTGATCTGCAGGCCAAAATAGATCCGCAGCTCACCCAGGTCAGTGCAGGTGTGTCTCTTCTGTAGCTCTGCCTTCACTAGGGCCAGCACCTCTGTGTCAGCAATAGCAAAAACCAAGTCGTCGACGTATACGAGAACGTAGAACGGCGGCAGGGTAGTGTCGGTGCGCAGAAACAACGATGGGTCAGCAGTCGAAGGAGCAAACCCAAGAGCCACAAGTGTCGTCCTCAGTGTGTCATGCCACTCGCGAGGTGCCTGACGGAGGCCATACACTGGTCGCCGTAGGCTCCACTGGGTACCCTCAGGAAACGACCCAGTGAAGCCAGGTGGACGGCGCAGCCAGATGGCCTCGTGAAGGATGCCCTGCAAGAAAGCTGTCGAGAAGTCAAGGGAGTGCAAGTCGTAGTCACACTGAGCTGCAACGTGTAGCAACACCCGAAGACTGGTCATCTTCGGGGTGGGGGAGAAGGTCTGAAAGAAGTCGACCCCCTCACGCTGATTGAAGCCTCGAGCACCGTAACGTGCCTTGAAGGCATGCGGAGAACCCGGCGGCCGCTTCACCCTGAAAATCCACATGCCATTGACGATGTTCGCCCCAGGTGGGGGAACCTCGTCGACGTAGGTGCCTGTGGACTTCCAGGAAGCCATCTCTGCGTCCATGGCTGTCTGCCACTGAGAGGAGTACTCACCTGAGATCGCCTCTCTGTAAGAGCGCGGGGTGGGGATGTCAAGTGCATCTGGGTGTCAAAGATAGAACTGGAATAATGAATGAGTGGAAACAAGCAGTACAAGGGAGGATATAGCAAACCCTAAGGGGGGTTATACCCTCTACAGCATAACTCAATGTAACACCTAGACTAAACTAACAAACTATAACAATTATATTTTGACACACCCCCATAGTCTAGGTGACGGTTGTCCTGTGGAAAGCAACACACAACCCAAGAACAAGCAACGGTCACAAGACCAGTGCACAAGAACAAAGCAACACTCGGGGTGGATCTCAAGATCACCACACATTCCGAGAACAAGCAAGATGCCACAAGGCCAGTCCACATGCAAGGATATAGCAGATATAAGATTGCAAGAGTACAAGACATGCATGACAAGCATCTCTACAGAAGCAAGGGGCCACAAGGCCTGTCCACAAGCACATATATAGGAGAAATAGTAAGATGCAATAGTACAAGATAAAGCATCTCTACTCAAGCAAGTGAGGGCCTGTAGACACAAGGCCAAGCTGGGTGCA